TGGGAAACAGGGCTACAACGCCTGCGCCGCGCACCTGCAACCTATCACTCACTCATTTACAATTAATTAACTAAAATCGGGCGATTGCTCTGTGACATACCTCCCCTCTTAAGTGTGGTGTCCCGACACACTAATAACATTACATGTAGTAGACTGATAATGACAATTTGATATCGCTTACAAGAATCACACATTCATAGATAAAAAGACCTTACTACACACAGAAATAATAACATAGTTTAACATGCATACACATTTCATGTTTTACCTTTTTTTCTTAGATTTTTGCGTTTTATCTTTACATTTTTTTTTCAAAACAAATGTTCATTTTAGATATACATTATATACACAACCTACATATATACACTTCAAATGACAATTATTTATTTCTTTGACTGAATAAAATCTTGTACAATCCTAAAGTCTTTGATTTCATTTTCACCTAACCACTGGGAGTGTCCGTTCTGAAACTGCACAAAATAACGTTTCTCTAACCGCTTGGAGTCGTTTCTTGACCACATCATATCTAATACTTTGACAATGGGACCGTTGTCATCGGCCGTCTCGTCCTCGTATTCAACGTCCTCGTCCGGGATGTAGTCGTGATGAGGGCGGTCATTAGGATCAAGATACGGCTTCATCCTGTTAGCATGCGCTGTGAAAGTTTTTGATTTGTGATCAGGGTCCTGTAGTCTGTATGTAACATTAGATAATCGCTCGATGATCTCGTACGGTCCGTGCCAATTGTGGGTAAGTTTAGGAGAGAGTCCAGGTTTAGTCGTTGGAGTAAATAACCATATTTTGTCACCTTTAGTAAAGTGAGTATCTTTCGCTGCGCGGTCATGGCGTTCCTTCTGGTTTTGTTGACATTTTTGTAAGTTTTCTTTGACAAGCGTGTAGGCCTCTTGGAGGCGGACTTTTGCCTCTTCCTTATAGTCGTCTGCTACAGCGTAAGAAAATGTTGGCGGACAGAGCGCGGCTTCAACGGGTAGAACAGGATCTCGCAAGTGCATTAGGTAGAAGGGTGACTCTTTTGTAGACTCGTGAATGGCGGTCCTATATGCAAACAGTATGTAGGGTACAAGTTTGGCTTTCTAGAAAGCCTGAAATGTCATCTATTTGGCTTCATTACTGTCAAAGAATAAACAGTGAAGTTTAACTTTTTTTCTCAGTTATTACAGATTTTTTTATTTCTCTAGGGAAGGGGAGTGGCAGTTTACATGAACAATTTTAGATTGGGAAAAAAGAGAAATTATCAAACTCCAAAATCCTATGTTCCTATGTTGTGGATAGGAAGGAAATATTTTAACTTTTTGGGGGGAAGTACATGCCTATACTTCAACAAACAGTGTGGATTTGGGGGGGGGGGCTTAAATTGCAGTGAACAATTACAACAATACAGGGTTAAAAGAGCTAGGGCACAAATTTGGAGATCCGATTTTCTTAAATTATCTGAATAATATCATGATTCATATGTTCCGAAAGCATTTCACACTGAACAATTAATAATAAATTATGTTTTAAAAAAAAACTCTTTCATATGGAAATTATTTGTCACTTTATGAATGTCATTTGTACTTTGTAAAATTTTGTGTCTAAAATATCCATAAGATTTAATAATTCAGTTTTTGGTGTGACGGTGGGACCCTACCCTTTTTAAAACTTCTGGATCCACCTTTGTTAATAAACGCTTTATAAAATATAAGCACTTCCACACGTTACTGTCAAAATAAAGCATAGGATAGTTTCACTGCCATCGACATGATCAATGTAATTAACTTGCAAAGCACATAAGTCTTAAGATATGAAACCTTCGTTTCATACACACTTAGCTTATCCAAAGAAATAACGCACACGTGCTTTGAAATTATGCAAGTAATAACATTTAAATGCTCTCTACCAAAATTAAGTATTTTCAAATTATCTGGAAAGAGTCCTCATTTGGAAACTCCGAACTTACGAGGGTAAAAGTTTTTTCTGCATACTAAACTTAAACAATTCTGTATAATTATAATTTTGGCCTCATTTCAAAAATATAGGAGAAGTGATTTGATGTCTTTGTTGCCATTAATGCAATTAAAACTGCATAAAGAAAATGATTAATTGCAAATTCTTTAATTATAAACATGAAAACTCCTTAAAAAAAAGAATAGATTAGACATGCAAAAAAAATACTCATAATGATTCTTTGTGATCTTGAATCTTCCAATGTATGTAGTTTCTTATGGACATCAATGTATCCACTTATAATAATTATGTGCTTCTAATTTCTGAAGTTTCTTAATTTACTCTTTATATACATTCGATCGCTTAATCAGACTTGTATTATTTTAAAAAAATGACAGCAATTTTATAGAATGACTAATGAACCAAAAATTAGAGTTTTCACCATCAATCCATATCATTTAAAGTGATTACTTTTACGAATGTTTTAAATTTGATGCTGTTTATCTGTGAATTCTTGGATCCACGCGTCGGCCGCAGAGGATCTTTACACACGCGCTGACCTAGTTAGGAGATTTCTATCAAGTTCTGACCATCATTTACGTAAAAGCCAAGAAGACTATGCATGAGAACATACATGTACAGTGCACATGTATATTTTGAAGAACCCCCACCACCCAGGCGATGTGTGTCGGACTCTCTATGATTTCTGTGCAGCTTGTTTTCTTTCTGAATAATAAGGCCGAGCGCTCATTGTTTACATCTCAATCTATATTTAGAAAAATCGCATCATCATCAAATCACAAACTTCTAAGCTAGTTCTTTTAAAAGAAAACCAGTTTACAGGCTACTTGTGTAGATTCTCACTTGAGATATTGTAAAACTCGAGGATTCCCGAAAGATTAATGGAGGCTTACACTAGGACTTCGCTTCCGGCATACAATCTTAATGTGTCATCTCCCGAGGGAGATGACAATAAAGGTGTCCCAGTCACGCTGATGTCCTGACACATACATTGACAACATCGTTGTGAGTGTTCCGTTGAAGCGTTCCACTAGGCCATTGGTCTCCGGGTGGTAGGCAGTAGTGAACGTTTTCCTGGTATTTGTGAATTTGCATATTTCCTTTATCAGGTTTGATCTAAAGTTCTTGCCATTATCTGATAGTAGCTCTCTAGGCGCTCCATGACGACACACTATTTCCTCTACAAAAAGTCGCGCAGTCGTTTCTGCATCTGCATTGTTTACGGCAAATACTTCAGGCCATCGAGTTAGGTAGTCACTGAACACAATAATGTACTTATTGGACTTGTAGGTTGGCGGGAATGGTCCAAGGACATCTACAGCTACTCTGTCGAATGGTCCATTAACTGCCGGTAGCGGGTTCATTGGGCACTTTGGTCTGTTTTTCGGTGATTTCTTGGTAGCACAGTCTACGCATGATCTACACCAAAACTCTACATCTGAATACATACCCTTCCAATGAAATCTCTCTTGGACTTTGTCATACGTTTTCTGGAAGGAGAGATGTCCGGCTGTCAGGTCGTCGTGACAGGCATACATGACTTCATCTATCAGGCTCCTTGGAACAGCTATTTGGCGTCTAATAGCTTGACGTCGTCTATGAGATCCAGGCTGCCAAAGATGATATAGCAGACCATTGTGTCCGAGTTCATAATCACCAGATAATATTACAGTTTCACGGGCCTTTGAAGATAATTCAGGCAACTCTCCCTTCTCTAAGTAATTAATGATAGCGGCTAGGAGAGGGTCATTTTTCTGACGGTCGCGGATGTCCTGATATGACCTTTTTGGTATCACATCTGCGTCTGCCTTAGCACAGGTGGCTGCTATAGGGGATTCGGCAGGAATTCGAGATAAGGCGTCTGCTTTTTGATGAACCTTTCCAGGTCGATGTTTTATGGTTATGTCATACTCTTGAAGAGTTAATGACCATCGCGCAAGGCGTCCTGCTGGATTCTTAATGTCCATAAGCCACCGTAATGGGTTGTGGTCAGTTATCACAGTAAATTTCCGGCCGAATAGATAGTGTCTAAAGTATTTCACACTCCACACAATGGCTAATGCCTCTTTTTCGATAACTGCATAGTTCTGTTCATTTGGTTTTAGACTCCTACTCGCGTACGCTATTGTCCGCTCACTATCTGGGCCTTCTTGGGCTAATACGGCACCTACACCAGTGTCACATGCATCCGTGTACAGGATAAACGGAAGTGAGAAATCTGGATATCTAAGAATAGGAAAGCTGGTCAAAGCTGATTTGAAGAATTCAAAAGCACTTTCGCAGTTACTGTCCCAAATGAATTCGACACCTTTCCTTAAGAGCTTGTGTAAGGGAGCAGCCTTACTTGCAAAATTCTTTACAAACTTACGGTAGTAAGAGATGAGTCCCAGAAAGCTTCTAAGTTCGCTCACATTTGTTGGCTTCGGAAAGTTGTGAATTGACTTTACTTTCTCAGTGTCAGGTGATATTCCGTCAGCTGAGACTTTGTGTCCGAGGAACGTGACCTCCGTTTTTCCGAAGTAACACTTCTTCGCTTTTAGCTTTAACCCCGAATTTTCGAATCGTTTTAGCACTTCCTCAAGTCTTTTGACATGGTCGGAAATAGTTTCCGAGAAGACAATTACGTCATCTATATACACAAGACACGTGTTCCACAGTAATCCGGAAAGCACAGAGTCCATAAGTCTCTGGAATGTTGGCGCACTGTTACACAATCCGAATGGCATATAATTATATTCATAATGCCCTCCAAAGAAGGAAAACGCAGTCTTTTCTCTGTCACTTTCCTTAATGGGAACTTGGTGGTATCCTTGACACAAATCTAAGACACTGAAGTACTTGGACTTATTAAGTGCATCCAGCATTTCGTCGATCCTAGGGAGAGGGTAAACGTCCTTTTTGGTGACTTCATTTATTTTACGAAAATCGATGCACATGCGAACTTTGCCATCTTTCTTCGGCACCAAAACAATTGGGGCGGAGTACGGACTCTCAGACGGTCGCACAATTCCATTAGCGCACATTGTTTCTATCTGGGATTCCAGTAACATCCGCTGGCTGTGAGGAATCCTATAAGGCCTCAAGTGAATAGGTTTACTGTCCCCTGTATCTATAGAATGTTCAACTAAATCTGTCTTCCCTAATTCATTATCACTGAAAGCAAACACTTTTCTATACTTATCTAATACCTTAGTAATAGACTTGCGTTCCGTTTCACCTAAATCACCTGATACATAGAAATCATCTATACCTTGCTCACCAAACTCATCACTCTCACTTATTTCAATCCCATTCAAGTTCTTGTAATTACATGCATCTTGCACACTTTCGCCAGTCGAACTTGCATCAGGAATAAATGAGATACATTCATCATTTATATATACAGAATCATTTGCAACATCAATATAGCATGCACAGTCCTTCAAAATGTCCAAACCTAAAATACAATCATACGGGAAATCACGAGCAACAAATGCATTATATACAACATCGGTTTGTTCACCAATTCTTAACCTAAAGTCACACTTCCCAACAATATCGACACGGTTGCCCGTTGCCGATGTAACACTAACTCCTCCAGCCGGCACCATACCACTCTGGTTTGCGAATGCTTCATTTATAATCGTGACACTAGATCCGGTGTCGACCAACATCGCAGCACATTTTTCATTCACATATCCTTTAATTTTGGCGGTACAAAATTTAGGATTTAACTGACAAGAAACAATATTTTCACATACATTTTTCACATTTTCAACATTTTTTTCACTACTTCCGGAAGAATTATCCTCTTCTATTTTACGTAACCGGCTGTCTCTAGGAGGGTATTTTAGATCCTCTAGCCCTTTACCTCCACACAAAAGGGCGGACTTTAGTTTTCCGAATTGGCGTTTTTTTGTTGCTCATTACAACGGACTGCTATGTGTCCTACTCTACGACATTTGTTGCAGATTGGTCTCCCGTCTGTCGTCCTAAGATTTCGGTCCGGTCTGGGGCGGAATCCGAATCCTCGGCCTCTTCCTCCTCGGCTTCCTCCACGGCTTTG